GAAGCCAGAAGACTAGGTATGACACAGATGGGCTGCCTTTGCTCCCTGGGATACTCCATGTTCCAAGGTCAGGATGACGAATCCAGGACAGAAGACTGAGAAGAACTGCCCAGTGAGGCAGGGAGAGCCACGAACATGGTGCCCTGAAAAATCCCCACACAGAAAGAGACCCAAGGAGAAGGGAGAGACCAACAGCCCAATGCCGCTGTCTCGGGGCAAAGCATTCCAGCCCGAAGCCTGCTAGATGCAGCCCACGAGATGCTCCTGTTATGATAATGGTCAGAGGAATCTCAGTTCCGGAGCAGAAAAGGGAAAGGGGAGGAGAAGAGGGAAAGTTGCTCGTCCGGCTGTGCTGATGTTAGCTGGCCATGAGGCCTAATACTGATCACATCACACCTGATTAGAATTGGCAATGGATTTGGCAACATGGAGGCCACTGGCGACCTGGCAAGAGTTACTTGGGTCACTGGTGGGAGGAGAGGAGGTGGTGGCTTCGGGATTAGACGAGCCTTCGGAGGAGATCTGCACTAAGGAGAGCAGGAGTAGTGCTGTGGGGCGGAGGAGAGAGGACGGGATCTGGTGAACAACGGAGGTCTTTGGGGGCTTCTCATTTGTTTTTCTCTGGCTACCCCAGCTAACAGTATCACTCCCTCTTCCACTGACTCCTTTGGTCATTTATCCACCATTAAATTCTGAGCCTGTGTCACCTCCTGACCTCTCCAGTGACTCAGTCACTATTTAGCTGTGTGGCCTCGGATGAGTCACTTCACCTCAAAGCAGCAGCACGGCGTTGAATCCAGTGACCTCAGTTCCCTTCCAGCATCAGTGTCGAAAGAGTCACAGTTGTAGAACCCGGGGTATTTCTCCAAGGTCAGTGGACATTTTGAGGTTCCCTTTTGATCCCGTACAGATTCTTGGAGAACCTAGAACTAGTTGTTAGAGAACTCTCTTTAGACTAAATAAACAAGCTTCTGATTCAGTCTTCTCTCAGCAAATGTTTGTTGAGTGCCTGCTCTATCCAAGGCATGTGACAGGTTCAGCAGGGGCAATAGACAGGTCTCCTGGGCTCTGCCCTCAAGGAGCTCACAGCTGGTGAGCCGGGGGGTGTGTCTGCTCAAAACCATAACAGGGCAGACTCCCCGGCGTGCCATTGTGTCCCTCCTTAGGGCTGGTTATCATGAGTGTACACCTGAATAAAAGTTCCATGAGAGGTGGAATTTTTTCAGTCTTGTTCACCGGGCACCTGACACATAATAAGCAGTCAGTAAATATTTGTTGGATGAAGGCGGTAATGAGTGGCACTATTTGATTTTTGTTTTGAAGATAGGATGGGATCTAGACCTACAAAGATGGGTGAGGGGGGCATAACACACTGGCAGGGAACAGGGGCCGGTGGAGGCAGGAGGAAGTCACAGGAGCAAATGTACAGAGATGGTGAAGCCCAGGCGTGCTAGCTCCTGCCAGCCCATTGTGACTGGACCACACGATGTGGTCAATACAGAAAGATGGGAAAGGTAAGCTGGGGCCAGATGGCGGAGGGTGTGAATTCAAGTTATGCTAAATTTATCTATAATAGGATGGACTCACGTTCCAGTTTCCCACTGGGTTCTGCCTGTTGTCCAGTGTGATTCTTAATAGTGCCCCTTTTCACACTCAAGTATCCCTGTTTGGATGATAAGTTATATGGTCCTGCAATCCTCAAGCCCCAAAGGCTTCACAGTGGGACATGGTCATCCTGGCCTTCAAAAGGTCAGGGCCCAGTGCTTGGTGGAGCCTGGAGGCAGAAATGAAACGTCTTCTCGTCCAGGTAGTTCAGGCCGAGGTCCTTTCGTTAAATCCTCAACAGTGGCCAGGATACAATGAAACAGACAGTATTCAGGGAGTACCAATTGTTCCAGCCCCTCTGGAAATCAATTTCACAGACACATAAAGAGCCTTAGAAAATGTCTATGTCCTTTAGCCCATCGACTTCACTTCTGGAAATCTCTCCTAAGGAAATCGTTCCAAATACAGAAAATGTTCTCTGCGTAGATGTTCATCCCAGAACTATATGCAGTAGGTCAAGAAACACCTCAGTATGCCACAATAGGTGACGATTACGGACATAGGATATATCTAGGCATGGACTATAAGCTCCATGGAACAGGGACAATGACTATCTGATTTACGAGTGCATCCTCAGCAGCCAGCATGGTGTCTGACGTATTTGTTGAATGAATGAATGAATAAAAATTATTATAAGGTGAAACAAAAAAGAAATAAAATAATTCTAAAATATTACATATACATACCTATATAGACACAGTCTTATCTCAACCATATTTTTTTAAAAAGACATATGCATATATGATTATGCATATACAAATTAAAGAAATGACTCCCAAAATATAAACAGTGATTATCTTTGAGTAGCGGAACTACTGGTGACTTCCTTTTTTTTTTAATTTTATTTTTGTACCTATCATATATTTTCAAGAATGAATATGATTACTTTTGTAATGGAAAAAACAAGTCAACAGCGTTTCTTTAAAAAGGAAGGGCTAGAGTCAGGCAGGATTTAAGCTCTCACCACCTGGATTCGAGAAGGTTTTGCACACTCTGAGGGTGCCCAGTCTGTGGTCCCCAACTCCAACCGTGATGCTCCTCTGTACGATGGGCTCCTCCCACTACAGTGGGCAGAGGGCCCCTCTGTTGGGCAAGAACGCCCCTCTGGGAGCTAAAGAACCATACTGAAAGGTGCTGGCTTTCACTGGAGGGGTTTCTAAACCCTTAAGCGGCTGTCAAAAATGACATCCAGCCAAATGGAAAACTGTTGATGACACAGTTTTAAGTGAAATAGAGCAGAATACAAAAGGCCTGTTCACTATGAACATAACAATGCAAACTATGCGCTTGGCAAATATTTATTGAAGGAATGAGAAAGCTTCACAAGTCATATGTTTATATGCAGGCAATGATGAGAAAAACAACCAAAATCAAATCCACCTTTTCAGCAATAACAATTTTAAAGACATATGTGGAGAACTAGGAATTCTGACGCTCTACTTTAGATCCCAGAGTGGGCATCCGCAGGTGCTCACTCAGCGACCCCAGGCTGCACGGCAACCTGTTTCCTACAGCAGAGCTTCTCAAACCTCAATTAACCTGGAGATCTTGATAAAATGCAGATTCATATTCAGTAGGTCTGGGGAGACAACAGGGATTCTGCATATCTACCAAGCTCCAGGTGATGCTGCTGGTCTTCTGACCACACTTTGGGTAGCAAGTTCCTAGTGTGCTGAGTCATCAGAACCCCAAGGGTCACCAGGATCCAGGAGCAGGAGACAGCCATCCCAGCAGGCTGTGTCAACTTAAGCAAAGTGAGGGGAGCCCTGAAGACCCTCAATGAGACTTTCACCCACCACCCCAATTCCTAACACCAAGCACCTTCACCAGATACCCTGCCTTGTTAAGCCAGCACCCAAAAGCAATCCTGTCCCCAACCATCTTGGCACCATTGAGACTGGCAATGAGAAGCAAACTCCAGGCAATTGCATAGTATCTGGAGGGGCCTAAGTCCCCCAGTTCCTTGAGCAGCTTGGTCAATGACAGCTTTCTGCGATGGGTCCCAAAGTCTGGGCTTTGCTGGCAGGAGGTCACCTGTAGCAACCAGCAGCAGGTGACCCAGAGGACAAGCACAAGCTGTGTCCAAGAGAGTGGCTCAGGAAATCTGCCCAAAACTCCATGATAAAAGTGAACAAAGGAACTAAACGGGAGAAGTGACCAAAAACTGGGACAAGACAAAGAGCTCCAGGAGGGGACGGTGGCTCAAAGAGCACTTGTCTTGGGCATCAGCTGCACAGATTCTGGGTCAGGAGCCAGGGCCAGAGAGACAGTCACACGTGGCTGTTCAATCTCCGACTGCCTGACCTTTGCCAGATCCCCTGTGTGGAGCTGATGCTGAGGGCCCCAGGACGCTGGCACCTGGATGCCCTGCCCTGGGAGACCTGATGGGTCCAGCCACTGCCCACTATGCTAGAGAGTGAGTTTGAGCAGCAGAGCCAGGCTGGGACACCCCATCCAAGGTCGCCCAGGAGCAATCTAGATGTTTTCTTCCCTGCAAGGACAAGGTGTCTGATCCACACAGATGAAGCCATAGAGCCGGTTCAGCATCCACAGGACTGGGCCATGATCTCTGTGGGGGAGATATTCATAGTCGTGGTGGCCCTTTCTCCATCTCCCCTGGCTTACTGGAGGAAGAGGGACCCTCGCTCCCTTCAGACAGTGCCCCGTTAAGTCAGATTCCCAGGCCTCCTGCCCCTACTGAAGGCCCCTGGGATGCCCAATGTCCTGGGGAAGCTTTGGAAGAACCATGGCAGCCTACCCAGGGCACGTCAGCTCAGCAGTCAAAGTACAGAAAGGAGGCTATAGCCACGGCCTTGAGTACTCCAGGCCTCTGCGGTCGGTCAACACAGACGAGGAGAGGGGGTCCACAGAATCTCTGGCCAGGTGCCTTGTCACAAGAAGTCCTGGGAGACAAGAAAGGGCAGGTGTGGGTGTCTAGGCCTGAGCCTTTCCTAGGCCGGACCATGCACAGGGCACTTGTCCTCAGCTGAACACTCAGCAGTGAGTGGCACCTCACATCAATTCTCCACGGAAAACTTTTCTGGAGCTCTCTCTCTGCTCCAGGGGCTGTCTAGGAATGGAGGACACAAGCCTTATGACAATACGAACGTCACCCTCAAGGCGTTCACAATCTCACTGAGGAGAGACACTTGCAGGCTTATGTCCAGATAAGGTGGCAGATGCACCAAAAGAGAAAAAGGATGGAGCAGGATGTGATTCTAGAATTCGTGCTGCAGAGGGGCCTGAGGGTCCAGGACTAGCAGGACCGGCTCTCTCCAGCTGGACGTGCTAATGATGTAACAGCAATCCCGGCCCTGCATCCATGGCATGCTTCACCACTTATGAAGCATAGCCACACACAGCATCTCACAGGGGCTAGAGGCTGACCAAGGCCCAGAGCTCTGACTCCACACGCTCCTTCCCTCACCCCACAGTGGCCTCGTGGTCTCACTGGTGAAGGTGAAATCCCTGGTTCCCAGGCCAGGCATCTGTTACAGAATTACCAGAATGAACCCGGCCTGTTACAAGCAGACATCTCCGGCTCTGGCATCTTGCAGCTCAAGCCGCAAGGCTCACTGTGACCTGCAGGCTCTGGAGTGAATTCTCCCAGGAATGAATAGCTAAACCATCTGAATGTCAGGCTTTGCAATACAAGTGGATACAAAAACAGGCTCTTGCCAGCCTATCTGGGCCCCAGAAAGCCAGCAATGATGGGATGCCAGCCCCAGGTTGCAGTATGCCCTCTTAGCTAAGTGACAGAGACTGCCAAGGAACAGGGTAGACAGAAGCCCTAGACCTGGCTAAATGGGGTTGGACCTGCCACTCAGTCTCAGAGACCCTCTGGAGACTTCTGTGTGCATTGTGGACAGGGGCAGATGCTCGGACTCCTCCAGAGGGGTGCTATGCTGGCAAGTCAGCACCAGGGCCTTGACTTCCTTCTTCAAGTTGGTGTTGAGAAAGCCATAGATGAAAGGGTTAACGCAGGTGGAGGCCATGGCGAGCAGGTGGCACACCAAGAAAATGAGGTTGCCATGGCAGACAGGGATGGCCTCATGGTGCCAGTCCTCCAGGCTGTTGAACACATGCAGGGGCAGCCAGAGCACAGCAAAGGCAGCCACCATTGCCACAAGCACCCCATTGACCCGCTTCATCTGCCCAGCGCGCGAGCTGTAGGCACCCTTGCGGAACGTGCGCCCCTGTTTCCGCAGGCGCTGGTAGATGCGCAAGTAGCAGACCAGGATAAAGACCAGCGGGATGCAGTACTGGAACAGTAGCAGGAAGGTGGTGTAGATGATGCGGTGGTGGTCCAGTGGCCAGGACTCAGTACAGACTACCTTATCTGCCAGAAACTCCACAGCCTTGGAATGGTTCTTGTGGAAGACCTTCTCCAGGATGCTGTTGGCCAGGAAGGGCAGGGAGACGAAACAGGCAATGAGCCAGATGGCTACAATGCCCAGGTAGGCCTGGGACAAGCTGGGCTTCCAGCCTGTTGGGTTGATGATGAGCTGATGCCTCTCCAGGGCCACAAGGACAAGAGAGAGGATGGAGACTGTCACTGACGTGCACTGGATGAAGGCTGACATCTTGCAAAGGGCTTCACCAAAGACCCAGTAGTCCATGATGGTGTAGATGGCAGTGAGTGGCTGGCAGATGAGACACATGAGGAAGTCAGAGAAGGCCAGGTTGGCAATAAGCAGGTTGGTCACATTGGTCTTTTCCTGCCTCATGGTCACACATATCAGGCAGAGGTTGCCCAGAACTCCCACAATGGTCTCGATGCTATAGGAGATGATGATGAAGACCATCGGATCCACGGAATCCTGGCAGTGGTCAGAGAAGTTGTACAGGATGCCCTTTAGCTTGCTCCTGTTTTCACCCTGTGCAGATCCCGGGAGCAGCGAGGCCAGGAAGTGAGAGGTGTTCATGGTGAATACGAGAAGATTTTAGGAGCTCGTGAACCAGGGTCCACTTCAGGGATGATGCCTGCAAGGCAAACAGACAAACAGGACTCAGGGATTGTGCCTCTAGTGTAGAATCCAGAGAGGAGCAGGAGCCAGGTAGAGGGGTTCTCAGCTGCTTCCATCCCAAAGCTGGAACCTGCAGGAGCTATGACCTAAGACTCAAGGTGAGTGATTGGCATCCAATGATTGCTACCTGAAGAAGCACTTGTGGCGTGCTGGGGATCGTGCTCAGTGCTTTGTATGTGTTAGCTAGTTTATTCTGAGAGGTAGATATCATCAACCCAATTCATAGATGAGGAATCTGAGACTCAGAGATGTAAAACAACTTGCCCATAGTCATGCAGCTAGAAAGTGACGGGGCCCACACGCATGTACAAAGCCATGTCTGTCTGATGGCAGGACTTGCTGCACAGATTCCCTCTGACCTCAGAATTTGAGGCTATTTTCATGATAAAGAATTCAGGGTGTTGTATGCAGAGTTCAGGGGCAGAATTGTTCAGGGAGTGCGAGTAGAAATCCCCTTGTCCCGTTCAATCCAAATGGAGACAGCAGTGGATGCTGCTGTGCATGGTGACTGCTTCAGTCCTCCCATGACACCTCAGCCCTTTAGAGTAGAAGCGAAACCTCAGGGTCTGACACACAGTGCACCCTCCTGATCTCAGCCCCTACCTGCCCTGCCAGTCTTGTTTCTCAGGTGACATGTGGCAAAGTTGAAGACCACCAGGTATGCAGACTGGCTAATCAGCCCACCAGCTTCCTCCTCCCACTCACTGTGTGCACACACGTGCCTAGCCAAGGTCACGGATGCCCACTGCCCTCCCTAGAACCCACTCCATTGCCTATGCTCAAGTCACCTGCTCTAGTTTGCAGCTCCCAAACACACCTGACTGTTCCACACCTCCACACCTTGGCACAGGCTGACCCTTCCCCCAGTAGCTCCTCAGCACAAGGAACTCCCTGCAGAGACCGAACTGGAATTTGGACTCCACAGCCTCCAGGTGGTAGAGCCAATGATGGCTATTTGGGCCTGAGAACCATCATCTCACTACACACATCACTGTGACTCACCTCACGGATTCTCTAGTTGTCACTAATCCCACAGTCCTCAACCTTCAGGAAACATTAGAATCATTCTGAGAGCATGGTGAAAGTGCAGATTCCAGGGCCCCTCATCAGGAGATACAGCTAAGTGAGTCTGGGATGGGGCCTGGGAATCTGTATTTTAACAAGTGGCCTACACGATTCTGATACATCTGGTCCTTGGGCCCCATTTTGAGAAAAACTGTTTCTAGAAGAATACCCTATTTAAGATATTCTTTAAGTCTCATATAATGAAAATGCCTACTTTTAAACATGCCTATCTTCAAGCACCAAAAGAAAGGCAGTTTTTACAGAGTAAGGTCAAAACTAACCAGAGATCAGTAAAATCTATTTCTCATAAATGTCACTCACAGCATTTTATCTGACTTACAAAGATGAGTCTCATTTGGCCATTTACATGAATAAGTCATGAAATGGCCTGACAGTTTACAGTCTGCTTATATAGGCCACCAATGTCAGAGGGAAGAGGGTTTTTCCAGCACCACAGTCTTCTGACAAAAAGGGCCATTTGGGGCTGAACATGACAAAATGAAACATACCAGGGCCAAACACAAGATTCAGTATTTGAGGCCAAGAACAGCCACCACTGTATGAAACTGTGGCAGATGCTCTGGGCCAGAAGCAACAAATGGAACAGAAACCCAAGGCTCTGGCTGACCACCAGCCAGGGCTACGTCGGCAGTGTGGAGTGACACTGTCAGTTCAACAGCGGCCACCTGCAACATGCCCAGAAAGCAGTGACTTCATTCATGCACTCATTCCCTAGTTGTGTGCCAAGCCCGAGGCCAGAGACCAGGGCTGCTAAGATGACTTACATAGCCATGGCCTCCCAGACCAGAGGGACTGACGACCAGGCATGCAGATGCACCTCACAGCCACACTGACATTGCCAAAATCAGTATGAAAGGGATGCTTCTGAGCTGCAAGATCAGAGGAGCAGAGAGATGAAAGAAGAGGTGACATTGATCTGGGGCTCAAAGGCTGAACCATCCAAATGGACAAGGGAGAGGAGGGAAGTCCAGGTGCAGGGAACAACATGTGCAAAGGCACAGAGGCAGGAAAGAGCAGAGCCTCCCAGGGACCAGCAAGTAGTTCAGAGTAACTGCCAGGGTAGGTGAAAGGGAGCAGCAAATAAGGAGGCTGGAGAGGTGGGCCAGACCACTGAAAGGCTGCCAGCAAGCCCAAGTCCATTCCAGAAAGATCACTTGGACATACAGAGTGGATTGGGGGCAAGCTCCAGGACAGGAGGAGGGAGTGCACTGGGGAAGGCAGCATCAGGGTCTGCCTGGCTTGCAGCCCCCTTCTCAGGAACCAATGGAGAGCTAATACCAGGACAGTTGCGAGTCAGACAGGACACCCCACACCAACACCGCTGCCTAGACCACATAGGGCCTGAGCCTAAATCAGCCATTCCAGCAGTTTCTGGGAACAGGGCAGAAGGAAGGGCTGGGGCTGGGAGAGCAGCAACATGGCAAGAACACGGGGATGGGGCAGGAGAGAAAGGGAACCGCCAGCTGTCCTTGTGTCTTTCCCCGGAGCTGCAGAGCCTGGAAGGGGCTGAGCAGGAGGGGCCTCCACAAGCCTCCACTGCAGAGGGGCCCTTGATGCACAGAGACTGAGGATTTCCAGAAGCAAAGTCCAAGGGCAAGGGACAGTAATCCAAATCCCTGAGACCAGGTCAGCAGGAAACCTGGATACCTTTTGTAAAATGTGCTGGGAGGTAGGGGCCTCCAGGATGGGGGACCCCTGAGGGATGCTCCTGAACAGACCAGGTAAGGAAGGAGACAGGATTCTGGTTGCCACCAGAGCTTGGTGGGAAGCTATCATGACCCCCCACTGCAGCTCTACCAATCAGGACAGAAGAGTCCAGGATTAGGAATGGCCACAGTGAGACTGTGGTTGCAGGGAGCAGGTCATCTTACAGCTAGAGGGACTTTTCACCCAAGAGCCATGCCATCTATGAGCCTGGCTCTCAGGTCATCTGAGGGCATCTGGAGTCAAGAACAGGATCGCTTGTCACATAGATGGAACTCCCCTAGGTGTGCTTATCCTGGGATCAAGTCCAGCTCTACCACCTATCTGCAGGGTGGTTTTGAGAGGGTCACTGACACTCTCTGAGCCTCAGTTTCCTCCACTATACAAGGAGAGGAGAAAGTGCATCATACCTATCTTGCAGGGTGGTCTGGCTCCCTCCCAGGCCAGGGGATAAAGTAGGGACCAAGGGGAGTCTGAAAGGCAGGACCTTGGAGTTACCACTCCCTGGCTCTCTTTCAGGGTCAGTCTTCGCCTTGGCTCTGTGGGCAGATGATGTCATTTGATGGACCGGGTCCTGTTCAGGAGCTTCCTTTGCCACCTTCTGGGAAATAGACTTGCCCATTTTGCAACAAGACCAATCGGGCACATAATATGTGCTCATCAAATGTTAGTTCCTTCTCTTCCCACTCATCCCACCAAACTCACCCTAAGGGACCTCGGCCCCCACCACGAGGAGCTGGCCACAGTTATCACACAAGCCCATGGCTTCCGAGTTCACCGACTATAGCTCTGACCCCAAATCCTCCTTAGCAAGCCCAGAGGTAGGGCATGGGGCCAGGACCCATCACCCACTCCAGTCCTGTGCCAGGTGCCCGGCCTCAAAAGAGCACCAGCCACACTGCAGCATCCTCCTGCCATGCTCAGAGCCCAGCCCAGAGCCCTGCCCCAGAGGTAGGTCCCTGTCTCCCTCCAGGGCCAAAGAGGGCCACACTGCCACCACTTCAGTCTCAGAGCTGAGGACCAACTCCATCCACAGCCAGTGATTAGCCTGGGGACACTCATGACGGGCCACACCCTCCTATCTGAAGATGAGGCCATGGGACACTGGGGGACGCAGAAGCAGCAGGGAGAAGGCAATCAGACAAGCAGCAGAGATCGCTCTGTTCTGGGTTTGGCCCCACAGACAGCCTGGGAGATGCCCAAGCATCCTGAAAGGCTGCCCCTTGGTGGGATATCTAAGCCTGCTGGAACCAGAAGAGCAAGAAAGGGAATCTGCAAGGGACAGCAGGAGAGGCACTGAGGGAGCCCAGCGTGGAGGAGAGAGCCCCAGAAGGGCGGGGGCTCATCTCACCTTGCAGAGCATATGCTTTCCTGGGACAGAGAGGGCAGAAGGCACAACAGCCTCACTTGCCACCCCACTGCACATTAGTCCACACCAAAGCTCTGCAAGGAAGGCATCATTAGGCTGAACCACATGAAACTGCCAACATCCTATCATTTTGACCTGTAGAGATGGCAAATTCATATGGTCCTATCTAATATCAGCCCCACTTTAAAAAAGGAAGACACTGAGGCCCAGTTAGATGACAGGACCTGGCTGAGGTCCCACAGTTAGCAAGTGGCAGAGCTGGAGGTGGAACCCTGGGCAGTGTGACTCGAATCCCTGGCGCCCGACCTTCCAAACAAAGACTTTGAAAGAAGAGACGGGAAGCAGAGCACGTGCTAACGCAGGAGGCAAAAAGTGGCAGAGGCGGGGCTGGGGATGGACATCCCAGGTCCACTGACAAAGCCCAGCATGGCCCACTCAGGGAGCCTAGGGCCTGGGTGAGCACCTGGGGGGGCTGGGATGTGGCTCAGCCAAGTAACAAAGTGCCTCAGAAGTGCTGGGGCCTCTGTTGGTCATGTGGAGTGACAGCCTTCCAAGGGTCCCTCTGCCTTAGCCCCAGCAGGCTGGCTCAGGGACCCCCACCTCCCTGGCAGTTCTGAGGACCACCCAGCCTCTGCAGCCCCTCTCCTTCCCAAGCAGACCTGGGCGTGGGGTCCCTAGTGTAATGACACCCTTAGATGGAGGAGCTTCCTTCTGGTAAGTCTGGATCCTCCAAGGCTTCCCTCGCTGTGGCAGAGCAGAAGAGCATGAAGGGACGTGATGGCACAGGTGTCTGTCCCATCCAAGGCCCCCGGCTGTCCTTCCTCCCTTCCTCTTGCAGCCTCCAGGTTGAACCCTCAGCTCCTGGGTCACCTCAGGACGATCACATCCACTCCCCAGGGCTGCTGGGCTGGGGCACACTGACCAGTGAGGATCAGGGAGCCTCAGTCCTCCAGGCCCACCTGGCGGGGGGTGGCAATCCTGGGAGAGGGAGGGCAGGATATCTCGCAGGGTCAGTAAAACGGTGACTCTGGATTTAGTTCCCTGGCAGCTCTGGACACAAAGCAGGAACCAGCTGCAACCCCCCTCCCCTCCCCAGGAGCCCGTCGCTGGGACCCCATTGAGCCTGCCTTCCTAATCAGAGGAAAGCAGTGAATAATACAAACAGCGCTAATTTCCCAGCCAACCCCAGGTAAGAATGGAGAAGGCCGGCTGCTTTCTTGGCTGAAATCTAGGCAAAAAGCTCCTCTCCTAATGCCCACCGCGCCCAGACACTTCGGACGCGCCCTTTACCTCTTCTGACCGCAGCTCACAGTGAGGAAGGGGCGCGGCGCCGCAGCCCACGTTCCCGGTTCTGCAGCTCCGAGCTCCCCCAGGCTCTAGGAAGCCCACCCGCGCCCCTCCCCGGGCGCCCGGCTTCCCCCAGGGTCCGTGCACCGGCCGAGGTGCGCGGCGGGACCGCGCCGGCCTCACCTGCTCCGGCGACTCCGGCGCTGCCTGCGTGTGGAGAGGAGCTGCCCGCTCGGGGCTCCCGCCTGCGCCGCCGCCGCCCGCGCCCGCCCACGAGGACGCTCCGACCGCCCCGGACCCAGGCGCCCGCCCGGGGAGCCGCAGCCCTGCACGCCCGCAGACCGGCACTGCGCTGCGCACTGGCACTCTCGTCCATGAAATGCACCTAGAGCACCTGCCTTTCATAAACTCGCTCGGAAATAGTACTTGCAGACCTCCTGTGGCTCTCCTGCTGGGCACACGGAACCGAACAGGACGGGACCCTGTCCTCGTATCATCCCGGAGCTCCCAGCCCTGGGGGTGAAGACAGACAAGGGACAGGTCAACAAGGAAATAAGTCATTACACAGAATGAGATGCTGTGGAGAAATGGGTCCACTTTAGATGGGTGGTCCAGGCAGAGGGCTCCCCAAGAGAAAACGCCAGAGGCCGGAGGCATTGGCAGCTGGTGACCATAGGAGGGCAGTGTGGCTAGCTAATGTCAGCA